CCAAGCCCAACAACACATCAGTAAAAACAAAACAGCAAGCAAATAAAACAGTACAATTAATATAATTTACATGTAAACAATAACACAGAGAATTTAAAACCTTATGGCCGGGCCAGATGTAATAAATTAAAATTTTAAAATAAACACTGGGCGTGAACAGAGGTAGGGTGTATCTAAGCAGGAGGGTTTTAAAAGATAATGTAGAGAGACCAACCCAACGGATAGTAAAGTGCCTCTGAGGACGATTGCAAAGAATTATTCAGAGCATGGCATTGTTTCCTTATTCAGGGAAGGCAGTCTGGAATAGCCACGTTTTCAGGCTCCTCCTAAACACTTATGAAGACAATTATGCTGGGGAAAGTGGAAGGCAAAAGGAAGAGGGGCCGACCAAGGGCAAGATGGATGGATGGCATCCTTGAAGTGACTGGAATGACCTTGAAGGAGCTGGGGGTGGTGACGGCCAACAGGGAGCTCTGGCGTGGGCTGGTCCATGAGGTCACGAAGAGTCGGAGACGACTGAACGAATGAACAACAACAACAACCTAAACACTACCAATATGGAGGCTTGTCTGATATCCTTGGGGAGTGAGTTCCAGAGACGGGGAGCCACCACAGAGAAGGCCCTCTCCCTCATCCCCACCAATCATGCCTGCGAAGGGGGCGGGAGCGAGAGCAGGGCCTCTCTAGATGATCGAAGAGATCGCGTGGGTTCATACACAGAAATGGAGTCACGCAGATAGGCGGGTCCCAAACCGTTCAGGGCTTTGTAGGTAAGAACCAGCACCTTGAATTGGGACAGGAAACTGAACGGCAGCCAATGGAGCTCCTTAAACAGGGAGGTTGACCACTAACCATAAGTCGCTCCAGTTAGTAACCTGGCTGCCATCCGTTGTACCAACTGAAATTTTCAAGCTGTCTTCAAGGGCAGCCCCACGTAGAGTGCATTACAGTAATCCAATCTGGAGGTGACTAAGGCGTGGACCACCCTGGCCAGATCTGACTGGCACACAAGTTTTAATTGTGCAAAGGCCCTCCCAGCCACCGCCGATGCCTGGGCTTCAAGCGTTAGCGATGAGTCTAGGACAGTGGTTCTCAACCTGTGGGTCCCCAGATGTTTTGGCCTTCAACTCCCAGAAATCCTAACAGCTGGTAAACTAGCTGGGATTTCTGGGATTTGTAGGCCAAAACACCTGGGGACCCACAGGTTGAGAACCACTGGTCTAGGAGGACACCCAAGCTGCGGACCTGTAACTTCAGGGGGAGTGCAACCCCATCAAGCACAGGTTGCCACCCTATAACCCAATCTTCCCACTCTGCTTCTGAATCTGTTCAGGGACTTATTTATTTATTTATTTATTATTTAATACACTTGTATACCGCTAATATCTCAGCCTAAATCGGCGACTCATTGCAGTTTACAGCAATTAAAAGCAATGTACAATTTAAAACAACAACACGTAAACAATACAAATTATTGGGCCACCAATAATAATACCATGCTTCTCGTCACAAAAATCACAGTCCAGAGTTCGTCATCCATAATTAACCAGTCCTTAGTCTATAAATTCAATAGTAACAAACTAATTGAATGCTTGTTTACACAACCATGTTTTTAATCTCTTCCGAAAGACCATCAGCGAAGAGGCTGATCGTATCTCTATAGGGAGGGTGTTCCAAAGCCGAGGGGCCACCACAGAGAAGGCCCTGTCTCTCGTTCCCGCCAGCCGCACTTGGGAAGCCGGCGGGATAGAGAGCAGGGACTCTCCAGAAGATCTTAGGGTCCTGGTGGGCTGATAGGCTGAGATACGTTCGGATAGATAAGTTGGGGAACCGTTTAGGACTTTATAGGCTAAAGTCAGCACTTTGAATTGTGCCCAGTAGCAAACTGTCAGCCAGTGAAGCTGGTGTAACAGAGGAGTTGTGTGCTCCCTGAGCGCTGCTCCAGTTAGCAGCCTGGCTGCTGCCTGCTGGACCATTTGAAGCTTCTGAACAGTCTTCAAAGGCAACCCCACATAGAGCATGTTGCAGTAGTCTATACGGGATGTAACCAGAGCGTGGGCATTGTGGACAAGCATAACACTGCAGAGTTATTTGTTCTGCTCCACTGTCAGTTGACCATTCTTGGTTTGCCCCTGGAGGCAGGCCCTCGTGGGGGGGGGGCATCCAGTTGGCATTTCCTGGTTTAACTGCCCAGAGGGATGTTCTTGCTGTTGCTGCGGAACATTAAGAGAGTGGTGGTTCTCATGAAGCTTTTCCTTGATTTGAGTCTACTGGGAGGAGACTGATAGCCATGTAGTGTATGGTTTTCACAGCGTTCAACCTTGCAGTTAGCAGGAACTTCCCAGATGCAGCACCGTAAAAAGAGAAACATCTTATTACA